ATATGCTTCAAGTTGAAGCGAATCAGGTTGAAAGAGGAGACCATGATTAAAACTTAAGCTACCGCGATACACTTGACAGTAGACCAATGGTCAATAGTAAAAGAGTGCATATACACCTAAACCTGATTAATCGCTAGGAAATATCTGGATGAGTTAAAGTTAAGACATTGCAAAGCACCCACCACACTTCAAAATTTGGTGGGGTCAAGAATAGAAGTGTCATTAGACAAGGGCATCTTCTTCCCATTAGCCATTGGGGAAGAACATAGTTTGGCAGATGTCATGTTTGTGCGCTTAAGAAGATCCAAAGCATATTCAGATTGAGTCAAAGATAGTCCTTGCGAAGTAAAAATAGCCTCAGGACCCATAAAATAGTGAAAGCGACCAAGATCCTTCATAAAGAAATGAGACCCGAAACCGGAGATTAGTTGAAGCAGATGGGGATCGCTATTTTCTATGAGAAGAATGTCAACCATGTAAATTAAGTGAAAAATGGTTACTCCATTGCAATGATAGGTAAAAAGAGAATAGTCAACCTGAGATTCAAAAAAACCCAAATCTTCAAGATAATTAGAAAAACGCTAAAACTATGCTTGCAGATCGTGTGTCAAACCATATTGAGAGAGAGAGTGATGTAATAATACACAAGATATGCAAACATAGGGTCCTCAAAAACGTGAGGTTGACGCATGTAAACCCCTTCACTGATTTTCCATGTAGAAAAACATTTGCACATCAAGTTGGCGAATTGGCCACTTAAGATTAACAACAAACGAAGAACAACACAAATGGTTGTATGTTTGACAATTGGGCTAAAAGTTTTTGTATAGTGAAGACATTCCATTTGATGAAATCCATTAGCAACCAAATGGGCTTTGTAACACTCAATAGACCCATCCACATTACGTTTAATCTTGTACACCCATTTGTTTGAAAATAATTCATCGTTGAGGTATACTTGACTAAGGACCAAGTCCCACATTTGTGCAAAGGATTGAATTCAATGCTTGTTGCATATCTCTATTCTGCTCGTTCGATAGCTAAACTAAAACAAGTTGGTTTTAGTGCATACTTACGATTCAGTACTCAAATGTCGTCTTTGCCACGAGTAGTCATGGGATGAGAGGATGACGTTGCAAGTGGATCTGAGTCTGGTAGGATAGGTGGATCAAGGTGTGCAAGTGAATGGGGAATGGAAGATGATGTGGGATGAGGAGATTGGACATATAAGCTAGATGTTTCTCCACGAGGTGGTAGGCGATGGTAAGGTGGATGAGGAAGAAATAGTAGGAGATGGAGTGGAGTCGGATGAAATAAGCACCAGGGAAGATGTATTCGTTGGCAAGAGTAAGTTGACCACAAGCGACCAATAAGAAAAATTGGATTCATTGAACATAACATAACGGGACAAAAACACTGGTCCTTTGTTGGGGTGGGTCTAAATACCGATATCCTTCATGATTAGAGAATGTCCTAAAAATATGCATTGTTTGGTATGAAACTGAAGCTTATTGTGATTATAAGGACGTAAATACGAGAAAGAAGCACACCCAAAAGAACAAAGCGAACTGTAATCAAGATGACACTTGAAAAGTTTCTCATAAGTAGAAATATGATGCAATACTCTGGAGGGAAGACAATTTATAAGATAGACAACAGTATTCCAAGTATCCACTCAATACGAAGAAAGTAACCTAGCTTGTGCCAAGAGTGTGAGCGCAATATCCACAATATGTTTATGTTTTCTTTTTGCGATCCCGTTTTGTTCAGGAGTATGAAGATAAGACAATCGATGAAATATACCCTGGGGGGCAGGAAAGCGTTGAAATTCATTATTAGTATTTGTATTGCCATATTCACCATCCTCGTTAGTTTGTAAAGACTTAATTTGACACCCAAATAGATTTTCAACATGAGATTTAAACTTCATAAAATAAGCAAGAGTTTCATGTTTAAAGTGCATGGGAAAAATCCAAGAGTACTTGGAGAAATCATCCACAAATCAACAATACTTAGAGTCTCTAACAAAATAACAAGATGTTTAAGTATCAGAGTGAATCAAAGCCAAAGGTTTAGTAGAGGTAGGAGGAGATGCCTGAAAAGGCAATCGGGAACTCTTTCCCAATGGGCAATTATAAAAATAAAAAAAAATTCATTTGATCCATTAAAGGCAAATTATTTTGAGATACGATACGCCTAGATATTGGAAACACAAGATATGCATGACAATGATGCCAAACAAGTTACGAAGCACGAGCACCAAACAATACAACAAGATGTTGTGAGTTATTATGAAACGGGCACCAATTGATGGGAGATAAAGGCCATGATCTCTCTTTTCCTTGGAAAAGAATCTTTTGTATAGACTTTTCCTTCACACAAAAGAACAATAATGTTATTTGGACATAATTTACTGCCATAATCTGCTGACCTAATCTATCGTAACCATTGAATTGGTTGTGGATTCTAACAAATATTAGAACCTAATGTCAATTCAATGGGTATGAATGACTAGGTCAACAAATTAACCATCAGAGTCAAACACAAAATAACATTGATTATCTTTGAAAAATTGATTAACAGATAGCAAATTAGTTAAAACGAAAGGACAACGAAGAACATTTGTCAGAGTGAAATGAGAAGAGTTATGAAAAAGTTGAGAAGAGCCAATGTGTGATATTTCCAAACCTAACCCATTTTCAATTGCAATTTGATCCTTGCCAGCGTAGTCATTATGAATATCTAAATTTACAAGATCGAAAGTAATATGGTGCGAAGCACCACTATCTTATCTGTGTATCAAGTTTGATTTTCAGAATGCACTTGGGAAGAAACAACCATTGCTAACCACTGCTACAAGTTGTCTAGTAGGAACACGTCCTTCGTAGAAATGGTACATACAAAGATATCAATTTATGGCAGAGTGTCTTGAACATCTACAAATCTAATAGGAAGTTCCACGATTGGCAAATGAAGATCTCATTTCAAGATTTGAAGAGGTTTGGAGAGTCGTGACTAATGGAAGAGAAGCATGGGGCCATTGATTAGTACAGTTCACACGGCCACAGTCATGGTCGCGACCATGACCTCTACCCTGTCCTCGTCTGCAAAAACCTAAAACTGGTTTGTGTGCTAATAGTGTAATGTGAGTTGGTTCGACTAGCAACGTGTCATGTGCCTCGAGTCTCATTTCAACACTTAATAAGAGGGCAATGAGATCATCGAGAAATACTAGAGTATCTCATGCTTGTACAGCGTTGAATATGACTTCATATTCAAGTCCAACATTATTCATAATCAAAATCAAAGTTACCAAATCCTTATCATCAACAAGTTTTCCCACAAGTGGTAGACTATCAGCAATATGTGTAATTTTGTCAATGAAATCACTAATGGACATATTTCCTCATTTGATGCCTTGCAACTCATTTTTCAAGTGAAGAATATGAGTTTTGGATTGGAATGCATAGCACTTTTCAAGAGAAAGCCAAACAACACAGGAAGTGGACAAACGAGTCATTGTAGATAGCATAATGGGGCTAAGTGTAGCATTGATTTAACTCAAAATAGTTTGATCTTGCTGCTCCCATTCCAGATAAGCTGGTTTGATTATGGATTTCTCATCCTCATCAACTAAACATTCCATCGGAGATGGGTTTGTACCTTCAACAAAACCCATCATTTTTTTACTTTTAAAAACAGGTCAAAATTGTGCCAACCATAAGACATATTATTTAGATCTAGTTTGATCGAAAGTAAGTGAAAAACATTAGACAAACTGGGTATCACGACCTCAATTGAAGTCATAGTTGTCAAATCGCGTATCGGAAGACGTATCGTTTTTCAAAAATAATATATCATATTGCATCGTGTATCGTAATATACACGTAATTTTAATTTTTAAATAATTATTAATAATATATATGGATTATTAATATATATATATATATACACCTTTTGTAAAAAAGTCACAAACTCATAATAATATAGCATTTCATTAATATTCCACCAACTATTCAAGTTCTTAACATAGTTCAGTAATATCAAAATGCAAAAACCTCTAATTCAAACTTCTAACATCAACTGTTTGAACAACTTTACTATTAATCAGGAATTTTGAATTCAATTGAACAACATTAACAACAGACTTTGTTTTTTTTTTAAACCATAACCACTGAAACAAAGTTGTTTCATTGGCTAATGATTTAAAAATAAATCCTAAAGTAAAACGATGTCATTTCAGCCTCAAAAAATCAAAAAAATTAAAAATTAAAAAAACAAAATTGTCACATATCGGACGTATCGTATTGTACGTATCGTATCATGTATCATACGATATAGTGCAAAAACAATACAGAGACACGATACGTATCGTTTTTCATGTATATCGTGACCTATTATACGATACTAATAACTATGGTTGAAATAGATGGTGATGCCATGAATTTGAACGATGCTTACTCAAATTTAAAATTTTTCTATGTCATGCGACTGAATGCTTTGATACCATGAAAAATAACAAAAACGAAGGTATTATGGATGTAAAGTTACTAACCCAAGTCTAGCCCAAGACACCTTGATATACATCTATCATGTCTATGTTTCTATACAATAAGAGATCAATATTAAACGAAATCAACATGTTGGCCCTAAACTATATCCAGTGTAGATTCAACATTGAATGTGGACCACATGTAGGTTCTTAGCTATTGTTAGTGTTGGGCTGGCTACTACTCAATAAAAGAGAAACTGATGAATGTTTGTCGGCATCCTTGGTAGTTCAATTATTAGATATGGCAAATCATCCATCATAACTTTTGTTCTCCATTTACAGGTCTAGCTTGTATTTAGGCAAAGCAATCACTGTGGCTTTATCATATGGACACAATTGGATGGTCTAATAAGAAGACCCACAAATGACAAATTAAAAAAATCAAACTAGAAAGCAATGAAAGAAAGCAACTGATAAAATCAAAAGTAATTTTTTATGGGTACAAAAGTTTAAGAGTAATATGTTGAACGAACAAACCTTGTAGCGAGCCGCTGGTCGTGAACCAGACACAGGAAGTGCTACCCACTGATCATAGACTAAATCCAAATGCCAATTGTGACTGTCAGTTCCCATAGCAGGTCTCGTCGAAGTCACTGAACATAATCAGTTCGAAGAGCTTAACAATTATTAGCAATGACACTAATGGATGGAAAATGCTAGGGTACGAAGTTATTGTTGGGCGGGAGAGGAAGAAGCACAACTTAATACAGCAAACATTCCAGATATACTCAACACTTCTAGCTCACAAATATATATATATATATATATAGAGAGACAGAGAGAGAGAGAGGGAGGTTGAATCCTGAATAAATCCCGTGCTTAGCTGGATCCGCCGCTAGCTAATAACTATACCAATGTAAATCTTGATCGAAACTACAGCTATCAATGCAAATCCTGCTTCAAATTATAGCCAGATCCCAATTAAGCGAAAACAAAGCAAAAACATTATGCAATTATTAGAATGAAATTCAACCTCAGCTTCACAACATTTGAAATTACAAAATTTGGAGCTATAATGCCTAAATTTCTACAGAATTGGGAATTCCTCACCTGGGATTCGGATCAGTAAAGCTCAGAGAGAGATAGAAGCCGAGAGAACTGAGGACAATGTCAGGAGATCGAACGGCGCAAAGTGTCCGACCTCTGGAATGTGTTGATCTGTGCGTACGGACAAACGAAACCGAAGAGCCAAAAGTCGTCGCCAAATTTTGTATTTGTAAGAACGACTATAGCTCCGTCACAGGTATGGGAGTGCGCCTGGACATATTTCTTTATTATTTTCTTTTTTGTCAATCATTGATATCAAAGCATTTGACCAAAGTCAACCTCACAGCCTTTATTCTCAAATTCATTCAATTTTAAATTCAATTTCTTTTTAAAAACGTTATTACGAACGACGTATTCATAGTTTAAAATGTCATTTGAAATAATATTTTTAACCTTAAAAAAAATAAACAAAATTTATAATAATAACAAATAAAAACGTTAATTAAAATGACGCATTTTTAAAAACGTCAATTTTAATGACATTTTTAATTTACGATTTTGGTAACGGTGTTAAACAAAAAAAGTCATTTGAAATGACGACTTTAAATATTTCATACCAAATGACGATTTAAGCGAATAACATCAATTTCTACTTTCCTAAATCACAGATCCCTCTTTCAAATTTTCAAATCCATACTCGGATCCCTCTCTCCACTCCTCCAACTACCCACCATCTTCTCCGACGAAGAAGACCACTCCGACGTAGCAGCCTCCAACCAGTCACCCACCATCCGACGAAGAAGACCCCTCTGAAGACGAAAACCTCTCAAATTGCTATCTCCTCTCCTCCAACCAGTCACCCGCCATCTTATTCGACGACGAACACCACTTCAACAACAAAGACCACCATCTGCTCCGGCTACTGTCAAGGTATTTTCCCCCTCTTTCTGTCTGTTTCTCTGTCTATCTCTCTCTGTGTATCTATATATAAAAAATTGTGTAAACGGTTTGATTCTTGTTGTTTCTCTCATTGCCAATGCTTTTGCCTCCGCTGGATCTTTTGTGTCTTGAATTTGAATCTTTGCTCTCAGCACTGTGCCTCGGTGGTTTCTAATAATTGTTGTTGTGCATGAATTTTCCTTTCCAATTGTTGCATCTACATTGAGCTTTAATTCTCCTTCACTTGGTAGAATCCATTGGATTTGTCGTTTGAGATCTAGAACTTTTATTACTTTGATGTTTTTTCTTGGTAAAGAGAAGAATCGTAAAGAGCTCTTCAAAATCCATGTTAATCTTTTTCATAATTTCCTGGGGGTCAGCTTTACATTGTGAAAAATGGCCTTGTTTCTCCATGCCCAGAGTGAGTTTGTCAAGACTACTGTATATAGAATCAGTTGTGTTCTGGTGGGTTTATTAAGAGGAGAGGTGGAACCTTTTCCACTCAAGTTTAAAGGTTGAGTAGAAGTGGTGTTGACGCAACCAACAACCACCCGCCCCCTTTTTTTTACTTGAAAGGCTAGTAAGTTTTCCTTTTCCATATAGTATTTTCAATCCAAGCCAAAAAAAGAAAAAGTATAACCATCATTGGGCTATTGGAAATCAAAGAATTTCTCATATTGTTTCTAATGAAATGTTAGGTGATATGAATCAATAGATTTATTTTTCATCTTTGGAATTCAAAGAAAGTACGCCATCCAGCCCTCATAGTCTAGGCACAACGACGAAATTATAAAAGGTGTGCTCTTAGCATTTGTTGTAAGATAGTTTTTTGAAAATAAACTCTAGTTTTTGTCCTAAAAAACTGTATTTCTCATGCAACCACTGGTCTGATCCCTTTGAATTTTGGAGATGAGTACATTGGTATTTCTTATTTTTGCACTAATTGATTTTCCAATTACGTCTAATTTTGACATTATTTTAAGATATTTTGTGTCATCTCCACCAGTAAAACATCTATTATTCAAAGAATCCTTTGAATACCTAGATTGTTTCCTGGTAAAAAAGATCCAAGAATGATATTTGAAACGTTATGACGATGAAATTAACCGAACCTAGTGTCTTTGTAAACGACATCTAATGTTACTTTTGATGTCTTTATTGTAGAATTGTTACCAATGACTGGAAGACGTGCATCTGTGATAGTTAATTGGGGTGGTAAGATTATTAAAAACGATGATGGTTTAAGGTATGATAATATTTATAAGCGTGTGATAAAGGTTGTTCATGACAAAACTCACTCAGCTTTGGTGGATAGGTTGCATGATGTGATGCAGATAGATAGGAATAAATACAACCTTAAGCTCATTTGTAGATTATCTACTGTATTAGCAACTAACCTCTTTTTATATATATGGAATTAGAAGTTTTTGACAAAGATGGTCTGCACTCTAATGTTGTGTGTATGGTGTATTGCATTATTTTTTGTCCATGTGCGCATTATTCATTCATATGATAATTACTGACATTACTAAAATGCTTCTGAGTAGGATGTATCAATAGTGTTACTTCATTCATATGTATGTATATATATATATTAACGATGTTATTTATATATGTTAACTTATATTTGTATATTGCATGATGATGTAGGTTGTGGACATGGATCGTGATCCGCGGTCATTACTATATCCAGATCTGAGGTTCCATTTTGTCGAGTTATTATCACTGACCAGCGGGCTATTCAGCATCTACGCCCAGTTGGATTTTATAGGGCATATCGTCTTAGGTACATTCAGCTGGACTGACATCTTATTACCACACTTGTTAAGTGTTGGCGCATTGAGACACACACATTTCATTTGCTAGTTGGTGAGACCACCATCACACTACATGATACAACTATATTACTCAGCCTACCAGTTGATGGGATTCTTGTATGTGGTGTGGACATTGTGTGTGATGTACAATAGTGGACTCTCATGTGCACTGAGTTGCTCGGGTTTACACTAGTAGATGGAGAGATAGATAAGTCCACACTGCGAATTAGTGCACTTTTTGAGCATTTGCGGCACACGATTCCTACTAATGCAACTGAATAGTTTGTAGCATGTTACGCCCAATCGTACATGCTATTGTTGATTGGGGGGTTTTTGTTTGGAGATAAGTCTTTGAGTAAGGTTAAACTTATGTTCTTACCATTGCTCGCGGAGCTTGATTCGATCGACACTTTTAGTTGGGTCAGTGCGGCCTTTTCATGGTTATACCGGGAGATGTGTCTTGCTACTAACTAGGACGTGAAGTATATTAGAGGTCCACTTATTATGATTCAAGTAATGGCTTGTATTATTCATTGTGCTTACGTATTTTATTGTAACTGTATATATTTGAAATCAACGTATTGTGTATGTAGTTGTGGGCATAGGAACGTATGTCACACATTGTTTCACAGCATGTGCTACCATGATAGCTCGTGGTCCATGATGCAGCTGTATTTTCATGGGCAAGAGGATGTTCTACTTGCGCAAGATTAGGTTGATGCATTAGAAGATGGAGCAAATGTAGATGTGGGCATTACACATGACGATGTTGATGCGCTCGTAGTACATGATGGTCCTCTTGGTTGTAGGTGCATAATAACGATCAGACGTTAGTTTATATAATATTATGTCTTTATAAATTTGTTGAAATTTATAGATGAGATGTAACATTTTTGAAGCAGCACACTCTTACCCATGTATTATGTCACTATCGGGACCAGTTGGACCAAATGAGAGACAATCAGGTAAATCAACTTAACCATATTTTACTTACCTATATGTTCGATTTTAAAGTTTGTTATTTTCTGTTGGGATGATTTCGTTGTTTTGGGTGGAATTAGTGAATGTTGAGATGGTGGAATGTTTTTATATATTACTTTATGTCTACCATTGAGTTGTATGTTGTATACAGATTGAAAATTTTTAGAAATGTCCAATTTATAAGGGAAACTTTGTCCAATTTTTTTAAAAATCCTTGTATATTTATTTATGAGTGCCCACTATTTGTACTGCAGATGATATGAGAGTCGTATACTTCTGAGGTTATGAGTCGTCTGCTAGATTATTGCCTTACTGGGCAAGAACTACGCACACACGCCCCATTGATTTGTTTTGATGTCACAGAGTGGCATTTTTCAGATCAAGTTATTCGACAGTTCGATTTTATTCAGTGCATACCACAACCATACAATACCAGTAGTGTCTTACATGTTGTTAACCGTCGTAGTAGATCAGGTCGAGATTGGACTGTCGTTCATCAGTTGTACATGGACATGGGGGCACATCATCGAGATACCATTGATACTGGAGACCAGGCTATTGCACCGATGGATCTGACTGACGTATACATGCAATGGTATTGTCGCATCACTCGACAACTTGTCGATCCCATCATTAGGCCTACTGTTATTTTTTAGCCAGTTGGGAGCATAATAGAGAAGCTACTAAGATATTTTTAAATGATTTTACTATTGGATTGGAAGGCAAAAAAGTGAAATTGTTTACTATAATTAATAATATCATATAATGTTTTTTGTAGGAAGAAGTACTTACACGGATAAATCGCACTTCAGGTTTTACATATGAAGGCAGCCCAGATTTGACACTTTGCATGGAGACTCTTGGGCGTATCACAGATCTGAGCTCCCCAACATCCATATGTGAACAACGACTATTTGTCGACGCTTCAGTCCCGACAGCTGATGTTCCGTCTATATCTACGCAGTCACCACCTTCTAGTGTTTGGACTATTCCTTTTTCTTCACCAATGTCGTCCACACTTGTACTATCATCACCAGGGCGCCCCATTGCCACTAGTATCAACCCTGACACCAGCACCAACCTCGACACCCACATCGACATCGGCACCCACACCAACCTCGACATCCACATTGACACCAGCACCCACATCGACATTGGCACCCACCCTAACACCGACTCCAATAGTGACACGGACTCCAACACTGACACCATCACCAATCATCTCAAGAGTACATACCCTTACATTTACAATGACACATTCTCTTATACATGTGGATGTTCTCTTTTCCACTCCACCAGTAATGTCAGCGGGTGTTACCATGGGGACATCGCACACATTCCCTCCTACCTCTTCTATATAGTCTCCCTTACAAGATCCATTATTAGATGAGGAGGGAGTAACACAAGATGCTACACTTATAGGTATAGGTCATCTGCGAGTCAGACCGCGAGTTTGGAGAAGACGACAAGGTTGGGGACGGGTTTAGGGGCACATCATCACAATGACGGCGGTGTGTCACAAGTGACACAAGCTGCACCATAGGATGCTGAGCAGGAGGTTCGAAGACAACCAAAACGACTTAGGCGGCCACCTTCATGTGGGAAATGATTTTGATGTATTTGTTGGTTTTTTTTTTTTGACATGTATAAAGTTTTTTTGTTGTAAATGCATTGTTACATACACAATCAAGTTTTTTTTTATTGCAGTCTTTAATCAAGTTTTCACATACAAAATCAATATTATACATAACACATTTAACTCACTTCAACATTATACTTATATAACACTTCATATGTAAATCTCGACAAACAATAACAGGATCTAGAGATAACAAAACTAACATAACACTTCTTCACACAACTCTAACATAACATTTCTCCACACAAACACTAACATAACACTTGTCCCCACAACACTAGCCTAACACTTGTCCACACAACACTAACCTAACACTTGTCCATACAATACTGACATAATAGCTCTCCACACAACAGTAACATAATAATTCTCCACATAACACTAACATTATTGTTCTCCACACAATACTAACATA